AAGATAAGAATTGGCAAAAAGGTAGAAAAGAAAAAGAAAATTGCTGAGATTACAATTAATGAAGAAATTAGAAAATTAACTTGTTTTACTTCTTGACAGTTTTCTAAATGATATCTTGGAAGATTATTTGCTAAGCAGTCTAGAAGTTTATACCAGAGGTACTATTTTTCTGTCCCATTCTCTAATCTGACCTATTAAGTGAGGTATCAAAATTCTAAAATGTCAGAATTTTAATCAGTCAAGATTCCTTATCGGAATTTATTATGATTAAAATTTGTCAGCTTGATATTCTCCAGTGAAAGGTCAGCAGTTCATTGATATAATTACGAAGTAATGTAATGTCCTTTCACTGGTCATAACAGTTACCAAGGTCTCTTCAAAAAGTGAGTGAGTCAGTGCGCGCGTGTGTGTGAGAGAGAGGGAGAGGTGGGGGAGTTGTGTGCCGTTAATAGGTTCCTTTGTAATGTCAACTTTCAGATAAGAATTTTCAGTGAATTAAGATTCATTTTTAATGCTTAAAGGTAAGCAATACACTATGTTAGATTTTATTATGCAAGTCATTGTTTTCAGCAAAAGAAAAAATAAATTGAAGTGAACCAATGTTGAAAAAGTTTTCAGTATATAATAATTCCGTTATGATAAATACGACAAGGAAATTTCAGATGATAATCTTTAACTTTGGAGGAAATATTTAGAATAGCTAATTAGGTGGTATGGAATTTTATTAGGAAACTCGAGGTTTGTCCATCGTATTGAAAATAAATCTATATAAAATCTGTGGCTTTCACTTTCATTAACCCATTGCGTTTTAGTCGCCTTATCGCCTTACTTGGGGCGAATTGATTATATAAGTGAACATTGAAGTCAAATGGGTTAATGAAAGTGAAAGCCAATCATAAAAAGGAAACAAGGGATAAATTTTGTTCCCTGTTTAGGATTGGGTTTCCGGTTCCTCTAATGGTTTTTCATCCTCTTTCACTTCCAGCAGGCCATTGCACATTAGTTGCATTATCACTTTGCTTGGGGGTGAATTAATACATACATACATACATACATATATATATATATATATATATATATATATATATATATATATATATATATATATATATATGTGTGTGTGTATGTGTTTGTCTGTGTCTGTGTCTGTGTCTGAGTGTGTGTGTACGTGTGTGTGTCCATTTCGCTTTTTATTTGTGTTTATGTGCTTGTTATTCTGTATCGGTGATCATCTCAGTGAATTTGTTACTGTATCGTTGATCGATAAGAATGTATAATTAAAATATTCAGAGATAAAAAGAAACAAATTTGGCAATAATAAATTCTTTAAGAATTCATTGAACTTTCAAACTGAAATTAATTATTATTTGAAAACTGAAAAAAAATGGAAACTTTTCTTTGCCAAAACACGTTTTTTTCCTTCATATCTTTATTTTTAATATTGCATGCTGTTCTTTCTTTATTTTATTTTCTTTCTTTTTTCCTTCTTTCATTTCTTCACTATCTATAATCATCTATTGGCTGGAAGATCCCCACCACTGCATGTACACTGCTGACCATGTAAAGAGACGCCATGCTAGAAAGAAACCCTTTTAGGAAAGAATTAAACACGAATAAACTGCCGTTTCTGTACTTTTCACAAATGATACTTTTTCTGATTACCGATGTGTAAAATTGTTTTGTGTTTATCATTTAAAAAACATTAACACTTTCTTTTAACTGGGTAGTGTTAATATTTAATGATTCTTTTGAAAAATCATTCGTTCGCAACAACGTTTTGGTCAGTGAACATTCCAATTATTTTCGGAAGTTTCTGGAATTTTGAAATCTTAAATTTTGTTTGGAAAGATACCATTATTTCATCCTGTTATAGATAACCCTGTTTTGCGATGATCGACACAGGTTGTTTTAGAAACTGAACTTTCAAGCACAAATTATATTCTGCTTTTGTCACGTTTTTGCTCTTCCGTCGAGATGTTGTATGCCAGAATAACCCGAATGGGGCTTGATCTCATGATTTTAGGGAATTACAAACTAATGATTCAGAAACTAGCGTTTTAATCCTCAGATTATGTATTATTAACTGTGTATGTACGTGTGTATTTTGATAGAAAATTATTTACACCATGCGGTGACTAAATCGAAATAGACAATGTCATTTATTGTCTATTTTGACGCAACGACGTTAGATGAAAATTAATCTGTCAAGAAAAGTCAAAAAATAAAAAAATAAACTAAAACATTAAATTCAGATTCGTTTTCATCTTTCCGTCAATCATCGCTTTTTGGCTTTCCGACACTTTTTTCTTATTATTTTCATGTACATTTTGTTTTTCAAGACCGTTTCTTTGTCTTATTTTTACTTTTCTTCTGTTTTCCATTCAATCATGTCATTTTTATTTTTCTCTATCAACTCATCTTTTTAATCTTCTTTTCTTTTTTTACTGTCATTCATTATCAATTAAATTTTCCGAGTTTTGAAATTTTCTTTGCAATAAATTTTCATCAAGAATAAAATATTTCTTTTTTACTTTATCTTTTGATTTTATTTTATTTCAATTTTATTCTATATATATATATATATATATATATATATATATATATATATATATATATATATATATATATATATGATATTCCGAACTTTTACACTTCATTCAAATCATTGTTTATCAATTGAAAATTCCATGCTAAATATTTATTTGATTGTCATCGGATTGTAAAAGAATTCACCAATTATTATCATTGAAAGATGTATATGATGCCTTTACATTTTCTCTGAAGAGGGAATTCGACATCATCTCCCAATTATGAATATTTCGATACGAAGCACATCAAAACTGCAAAGTCGGTCATAAACAAATCGTCCACAATAGATTCAAATTTTACCGTTTTCTGTAGTGTTAATTGCTTATATTGTTCTCCAGCGCAACTTCTGCTTTTCCTCTTGCTCACCAAATAGAAAACCGTGGCTAATTAGAATTCCAAAGAGTTGATATATAAAAAAATAAGAAACATTTATATTGTAGGAAGCTGATTGACAGAAGAGAAAGTCATTTTTAAAACTGGAGAAAAGCGAGGAAAATGTATTTAAATAAATATTTAAGTCACCAATTGCTGCCCATACTGTTCAACCATTTGCTATTTTTACAATTCATTTTTTAAAATAAAAATCTAATGTATTTTTATTTAAAAAGTATTGTAATAGTCTAAATACATTCTTTAAAGCTTGAATTGGGTTTTAATTGCAAGAAAATAGCGCAGAAATTAGTCGTAATAAATAAAAATAAATTTGCGTACTGAAGACAGATTTTAGATTGTTTTTATGCCCTCCGAAGTTTATTGGATAACGTCATTATTGCGTCCGCTTAAATTTGCGTGTCTTCAAAAGGTATTACGCTTCCATGAAATCAAATGAAGTAATTTTGACTGAATTAAAAAATATACCACAAAATTTTTCTTACAAAACAGCTTTTTATAAATAAATTTATTCACAATTGAATAAATACAGAATATTTATTGAAATCACATAATTAACAGAGATTTGTCAGATTTTTTAAAAATTTTGTCTGTTTTCGCGTAAAAACCCATGCTAATTATTATGTCACGCTGAATTATATAATGTTAACAAACTTGAAAACACCAGTCCTATATAAGAGAGAAATTTTATATCAGAATTAATCTAATCTAAGAAATATTGCTTAATGCACAGAATATTTTTAGAACAGTAGCTTAGAATAAGCATTTCAGCTTCAAATCAGAAATCGAAGTTGGTGTTAGCGTCATTTGGAAAGGTGCATATTTTTAACGTCACACACATTCTAACACACAGAACCGGAAGTTGCCGCTTTCGATGGTGGGTTTAATTTCTGCTGTGGAGGAGTTGGCGGGATATGTAATCTGCATGAGATAAATCGTCTTCTGAAAATCTTTAGAAGATAAATTCTAGGGGTAGAGGTATGGGCGAGAAAATGCCGATGAATGAAAAGATTGTTAAGCACAGATGTAATTCTTTCTTATATCCTGAATGAAGCGATGTATGGAAAATAAAATAATTTTTGTGCAGGCTACCGGACACGATTTGTTTAAAATAGAGACACTAGTGGCATGTAAAATGTCACACATAGAAAGAGGGAAGTTGGCTAGTCTTTTCGTCTGTGCCTGTATTTTTCTGACCACTACAAAATTGTTTTTCGATGAGCGGATTTCAAGGTTGTTGTGGTGAAAAAAAAAAAGAAAAAAAAAAATCCTTATTATCACTTTGGGCATTATCGCAAGCGCGTACGCACGCAGACTAACACGCGCACGCACAGGGTTATTTTATCTGCTTTCCCATCAATGCTAATATTTTCCACAATTGTCAAATATTACGACGAAAAGAGAGTAAAAATATTGTTTCTCTATTTTGTACTCCATTTTATTTCTTAAGAATTGTCGTTACATTTGTTTAAAACGAGTGTTTTCTCTCATAATTCTGAAGATTATTATTATTAATATTATTATTTATTGATCGTTATAATTACGGCTGCTAATGTAAAAAAGAATGAAAACTGCACTGTCGTCATAGTGGTGAGACCTACCAATTATTATTATTAATTACAATAGCAACATTAGTATTGATATTATTAGTAATATTAACAGAAGTAATAATAATGTTTTCTTCGTGGTTGTTTCTTTTCGCACAATCTTTTGGCATTACGTCTCCTCCTTCAGTTCCAGAACGCGCGTGCGTCAAGACGGTCGATGTTACAGCTGCCATTCCTTGTCACTGTCGTTGCTAAGGGAAGATTGGTGACGTCACTAGCAGGTAGTCAAAATGGTTATGGTCTGATGTAGTAGCTCGTTGCTTGGCAACGTAAAAGACTAAAGAAATGACAAATGCAACCCCGCATTACCAGCTACACATTTGAAGCTTTGTCTTATTTTTAAACTAACAGCCCTTTTCTTTCTTTCTTTCATTTTTGTCTCTAACTCTACGACTTATCTTTCTTCATATGATAATGCTATTACTTTCGTCTCCTCTTTTCATAGCCTATCTATCTATCTATCTATCTATCTATCTATCTATCTATCTATCTATCTATCTATCTCATCCTATTCATATTTTATCATATCTCCTGTAAAATCAATGGAATTGTTTCCATTAAAGATCAAAACAAACAGGGAAATTTGAATCGACACTAAATGCTATTTTAACTTTTACCTAGTTTCAGATTTTCTTTGGCCTGTTGAGCCTCTGCACCAATCTGCGGATAAAATAAAAACAGCCGTAAGCAATTTTTAGTAAAATTGAACTTTTCTGAGTTTTACTTAAATGCACTTTTGTACAAAAAATGTATTTGCGTGCATTAAACACACACACATATACATGTGTTTGTTATTTATATATATATATATATATATATATATATATATATATATATATATATATATATATATATGTAGTGTATGTGTGTGTGTGTGTTACTTGATGGTGAGTTCGTCATTGAACAGTATTCCAGTTTTTTATATTTCCACTCATTGATGAATTCATTTTTTAGCATTTAGGAATTATCTTTTTCTATTTTGAATTTTCTTTCTTATTTACATTCTTTCAACTTCTTTCAGTCATTCAGTTTTCCCACTTCTTTCTAATTGCGCCGTCTTTGCTTACGTACGTTTATGTGTCTCTTTTTTTTATCTTTTTATTTTCTTTTTTCCCACTTTTTTTTTTATCTTTTTATTTTCTTTTTTCCGCTCGTCTTTTCGCGTTTGTGTCAAGGAGTTACAAAGTTGTTTTAAAGTTCTTCCTAATTTTCTTACTTTTTCTTTTATTTTCTTTGTCTTTGATTACAAAGACATAAAAAAATGTCGTCTTACACTCCCAGACTCACGGATGCACATTGCTCTCGGTATGGATAGACATGCTGCACGAAATTACTTCACCAGCCCAACTGTTCTCTCGTTCGCTCACGCACTGTTCCTTTCTCTTTTTTTTTATTTCTCTGTATTCCTTTCTCTGACATTTTGTATCTCTCTTTCTATTCTTCGTTTTCTTTCGCTCTTTCAATTTCTTTTATACATTCATTCTCTCTCTTTTTCTACCTCGATTTATTACGCTTTTTCTTCCTGATTCGTTGATTGTATTTTTACATTTGCTACTGTTTTTTGTTTATTTTTTCGGATATATATGTCCTTATAAAAGACAAAAATGACATTTTTGTTCATAATAAATTACTGCTGATGATGTTTATGTAATAAACATCGAAATATTTGCATAATTATCTACAACTGATGCTGATATATTGATTACGTATTATATATTGATTGAAATATTGATTATGTAAGAGAATGTTTTCTGATTACCTTTATCCTTTATATATGTTTATGTAGATATGCATGAATAGATATAAGAACACATCATCGCATTCCTTTTGTGAGGACCTGAGAAAGCATAATCCTACAAACATTTGCATAGCGTAAATGCAATTTCATACAGGAAAACACAAATGCAACCTACTTCCTAATATGGAAACAGATAGACAATGAGTGCGAATTTATGATTTTCTGAAAATTGTACTTTGAAAAAAGAAAAGAAGAAAATCCTGTACAAGTCAGCAACATATAAAAAGGAATAAAAATCATAATCATCGTAGAATTATTCAATTTCACTACGACGTTTCTATTAAAGACGAACTTGTCATAAACGGAAGCGTGACGTAAAGAAACAAAACTGTACAATGTATATGTAAGTGTGAAAGCGATAGAGCGAGATAGAAAGAGAGGAGAGAGAGAGAGTATATGTATGATGGATGATAAGTAAGTATATGTAAGTGGATGATATATGTGTCTATGTATTGAAAATTATTTTTTTAATAATTAGGAACTGTTTTTTAAACTTCACTTTACAATATAAATCTTGCGCTTTAAAGATCACATGCTCAATTTATTTGATTTGTACTATGCTTTGATTTAATTGTAGATATAAAAAAAAAATGTTGCACACAGGCACCCATTTGAATTCAATTATATATACATATGTTTAAGTATTTATGTGTATTTATAGCTTGTCACGTCAGACAACGACCCACGTCAGTGTTGTTTTGTTATGTAAAGTCCAAAAAGAAGTCTATTTTATAATTTGTTTGATTGTAAAAATTCTTGATACTTTTTATAATAAATTTATATTTTGTATTTTATTTCTTATACTTCTGCTTCAATGTAATTTTTATATTTAAATTGTATTTATGAAGAAATTTCCCGGAATTAACTTCAGAATAATGAAAGGCGTACAAAATAATCAAAAAAGAAAAAGTGATAAAGAAAAAATAATTCCGCTATGAGCTTTATCCCAATATATTAATGTATTTACACTTATAGTATTATGCGAAAATGGAATTTTCACTTAATATCAAACCAGACCATCAAGCGAAGTCATGTGAAGAGTTGACCTGAGGTGAACGCCCAGCCACCGAATGTAAAATTACGTGATCTCACACCTGATTCTTGTTTCGCAAGCGTGGGCGAGGAAAGATTTGTAACGCCCGGTGTTATATAAACCACCACAGAGATGAGAAGGACAGTTTCTCAAATATGGCAGACGAGAATTTAAAGTTTCCGTTTCGGAAGCGGCACAGAGCCGCGTTTTCATACATGAGAGTAATTGACCAAGTATTGGAGTGAGTAAAATTTAATGTTAAACATAAAAGATTTAAACTTCATGTTAGTTATTCTCGGTGTGCGTAGGAAGGATCGGTGCACGCAGAAGCCTCTGAACTTGGTACAGATTTTGTATGATATACAAAAATGGGACTATTTTGAAATAGCTTTTCAATTAGTATAAAAAATTAATACATGTATAATCCTGAATGTCTGATATACCCATACTTTAAAATATATATGGAAAAATCTGTTTCAACTATTTATTAAAATGTAATAACATTTTCGAACTGAATTTATTTATTAAAGAATTTCCTTGTACAAATTAAATGGATGAAATATTTTTGTTTTAGGGAATTTAATTAAGGAGGAACTCCGCTGAAATCGAAATTATGTCTAAATCAGAAAATAGTTTGTGCGAATATTAACACACACACACACACACATACACACACACACACACACACACACACACACACACACGCATAAAATATCAGTCAGAAAAAAAAAGATATATAGGTATATCCGCTGGTGATTGGAAGCAGCGTCTATACAACCATAGACGCTCTTTCAAATATCGATACCTCAAAAATCAAACTTCCTTATCCAAACACTACTGGGTTCTGGTGGATAAGGGACTAACCCCGCATTTCGAATGGAGATTCTTATCAAGAGCTAGAACCCTTAATATCTTCCGCGATTGGTGTGATCTATGCATTGAGGAAAAAAATATTATTAAAAATAAAAATCAAGATGAGTTGCTAAATTTTCGTAGTGAGATCATTTTCAAATGTAGACATAAAAAAAAAAACGATTTAAAACATAAACACGGTTTTAAAACGTGTTGTTACCTATAACAGTTCCATCTTGGATCACTAACATCGGACATGACATTTAAATGGAATGACTCTTATGATTATCTATATATATCATTATGTATGTTTATGTGATGCTCTATATATTTTTTGGTCATTTAATTTGGGTTAGCAAACTTCATTCATGTGTTGATATATGTGTATGTGAGTATGTAGGTAAAAGTTTTCCTAAATAACTGATATACAAAATCTGATAGTTTTCTGATATTTTTATATGCTTAGGTATGAGTGTAAACTTAAGAGATAGATACGCGTTAATAACTCCGTGGGTTTTTAATATTGCTAACGTTTTCTTCCTCAGTGTCCTTTAAGTACAAATTAATTTAATTCTACCCATCTATTTTATATGTTAAATGTATATATCGATGGATGTTTTTTTTTTAATTTTTAGAAATTTTTTATCTTTTTTAAAATATATATATATATATATATATATATATATATATATATATATATATATATATATATATATATGTGTGTGTGTGTGTGTGTGTGTATTTATATATATATATATATACATAGGTGAATATATATATATGTATATATATATAGTGAGATGGATAGACAGATACGTTGTATATTTGTTTAGATGAGTGTGTGTGTATGTAAATGTATGGAGGTGTGTAAGGTTTTATGTATATATGTTTATGTGCACGTATGTGTATGTCCGTATGTATATATGTGTATGTATATATATATATATATATATAGGATATATATATATATATATATATATATATATATATATATATATATATATATATGTGTGTGTGTGTGTGTGCGTGTGTGTGTGTGTACTCGCGTATATCTATGTATACGCGTGTAAATATAAATATGTTGTTGTGTATGTGTGTACAAACGTATGAGTTTTGGGGCATAGAAATAGTAGGTCCTTGCTAAATTATTCGTTAATTTTTATGTTTATATTAAATTTGTAACCTGTGGTTGATATTACTCTTGTCAAATTTTCTTCATTGCACAGCGGTCCTTTTATAAATGCCCTTCGGTTTTAGTTGCACCCCCCCCCATCTTCCCTCTTTTTTCTTTTCTTTTCTCTCTCTCATCTTCTGAATTTTAAGTTTAGATTATATCGTCTTTTATTGTGCGTAGTGTCACCACAAATGTTTACACCCGTTTCCGGTGTTTGTTTTTAATTTAATTTACGTCAGCGATTCAGTAATGAATTATGCATCGGAAAATAATTCCTATTTATCTGTGTCTCACTCATTTAAACCGTCATTTAACTCCTCTCTTTAAAACTTCTCTGTTAAATTTTAATCCCCACCTTAACTTTTAGGTCTTCCTGTTCTTCTTTCGTCTGTTACCCCTCTCTAGAGCTTTCATTTACTTCTCAGCGTCCCCCACTCTCATACATACAATCTAACTAAATTTATTTTTTTAATTTTAGTTATTTTTTCCGATTTCTTTTTGAATTTGTAGGCCTGATGAATTGGATCGTAATTACGGCTCCAATGTAATAAATTATAATCAGGGAATATTAGTGTTTAAGCCTTTTTATTATATTCTTAAGTTGTCCTGGACATTGAGTTCTACCTGGATTCTATCCTCTTGGAAATTTATATATATATATTGAGTAAAAATCAATTCAAATGATAAAGACGACAGTATTTTATTGTCGTGGTGAGCAAAGATGAAAGAAAAGTCACAGAAATGCATCAGTTTGTCTCTTGTTTTTGATTTTCTTTGCTATTTCTTCTGTTTTCAATTATTGCCCACTAAAGTAATATTTTCATGTTTACTTGCGAAAATCGATATTTACCACGCTTAGCTTAGTCCGGAACAAGGGAAAAATGGGAATGGGAATCGAGGCGAGTTGTAGTGCACACGCACATCCGATATATATATATATATATATATATATATATATATATATATATATATATATATTACACACACACACATATATATATATATGTGTGTGTGTAATCCCAGTTTTCATGAAATGCTAACACAGCCATATCGCAATTCAGATTTAATGATACAGTTTTTATACATGATGAATGAACTCAGTCTCAACCACTCTTAGTCTCACTTTCAATATATATTTATAATGAAAGTATGTAGATGGATGAAAGTGGAGTCATTATCAACACAATTATTGTCTATCGCTTTCACATTTTTCGCTCTCTCTATACACGCAGGCCTGTACACAGAGAGTCAAATATACTGAGCTATACGATTCTTTGTGCCAGAGGCAGGTAAAGTCACTGCGCTATTGATACACCCCTTCTACCAACATATATTTTCCCCAGTTTATTTGCTTATTTTATTTCTTTCCTTTCAATTCTTTTCAAGAAAGTTTCCTCATTATTTATGATTCTTTTCATTTTTCTACTTTTTTCCTTTCCATTCTTATCACAATTCCGCCAGTCAAAATTTTTCTGGAACAGGCTCTTTCGCTTTCCTTCTTTGTCACTGCATTGTTACTTCTTCTCTTTCCATTATCACCTGTTGGTGTTCTTTCTTGACCAACATTACAGTTATCCACACCTCGTCTGAAAAATGTTCCCCCCTTTGCCCGTCTCCCTTTTTTCGTTTCATTTTCCATTCCAGTCTTCTCTCGGTTTTTCCGTTAGCT